AAAGGGTAACACCTACCTATCATATGCAAAATTCAACCGCTAAATTTTATCACCAAGTCTTGTATCTCACGTTTCGTCTCTGTCCCAATTTTCATTCATGAGGGTGATTGTTGGAAAAAATTGAGTGAGCGGCTCACTTTTGGTATAATTTTCGATGGGACCCGTTGATCCAATGTGGAATATCAAAGTTGATATGTGTTCTCCTTCGTGAGAACATCGATTTCATGTATTTATTTGTCAAAAATGAAGCTCGGGTGAATGAGAAATTGAAATTCAAAGTTGGTCATTGGAAGTTGGTTTTGTCGGAAAAATGCATTTATCCCACATAGGAAAACCAAGGAAACTTAAACCACTTTATATATGGCTATACTTTGGAGATGTGTAATCATGTGTAGCATAGAGACTCTCTCCATTTGCACGCACAGGGGGGCAAATCACGAACCGAAATGGCCTTCGGACCTTGAACTTGGGTGCGGGCGGGACCTGCGCACACGAATGTCGGACCGAACAAAGCAAAAATGGCCCCATCGGAAAGCCCAGGTTTTGCCAATTTTTTTTACCTTCTCCAATGACTTTTGAGTTTCTAAACTGAAAAAACTTCAATGGACTCCCAATGGTCACAGTGTTAATGGGAAGTAACTCAATGGTCACAATATTAATGGGCAATATGCCTATAAAAGGCTCATTCTCTAGCAATCTAACACACTCGAAAATCTCACCTACATTCCTGCATACACAGTTTCTTCTTTTCTGTATTCCTTGTCCAGTAAGGTATTGTTCTTGTGGTGATATTGTTCGGATACTAGATCAGTTTGTCGGAGTAGGACTGTGGTGCTCGGATTCTGCTTATTACCGTTGTATCCTGGGAAACAGCCGCTCGAACTGAACCTCCAGCACCTACGGTGAGGGGACGAAACTGTCTTAAAGAAACTGTGCACGCACAGGCCTCAGTTTGAAACATGCTGCAGTTTGTATTTTCTTTCTACAGATTATTTTCGCATTACTATTTAATTAATGCAGTTTGTAGTTTCATAGTGTGCAGCTTCTAGATTCATCGTTTACAGTTTTAGCCTGCAGTTAACTTATATTTCTGATTTTGTGTTGCTAAACATTTTTTTCAGCCGTTGGAAAATTCTGAAACGAAATTGTTTTGACAAATTGAAATCGTTTGCCTTGTGGTTATTAATTTCAATAGTCAGCTATTGCAATTAAATAAAACTTATACAATTGGTTTCATCCGCTAGCTACTTGTTTTCCTACAAGAGATTCACCTCGGTTACTTCTCAATCTCCCTTATAAAGGACTAGATAACTATTATGAATTGATTGCAAAATAATGAAAAAAATGAAATAAGTAAGAACAAAATAAGAATATTAAGATTTATGTGGTGGCCCAATATGGGCAAAAACCATAGTAGAGGAGGATAAATTTACTATAATTAATAGTAATTTTGTTCCCAACAAGATCTGAATACTCTCGACTAAAATCTAAAACTCTCAACATATTTTATGAATGTTACGGGAACAATACAAATCGTGACTTATATATAAAACATTTGAGGTTAAGTTGTAAATAAATAGAAGTCCAAGATACGTTAAAACGCAACCAAAAAAAGAAGAAGAAGGCCTAGGCCGGATAATCCTATCGCTCGAGCGATAGCCCTGCTGCTCAAGCGTCAGGCAAGAGAAAAGTCTCTATTGAAAATATGCTGGTGCTGCTCAAGCGACCAGCTTGTGGCAGACTAGTAAAAATACGGCGATTTTTCTTCATCGGTCCATAACTTTGATCTGTTCAAGATCATTTCAATTAAAACTTTAATACCCATTAGAATTTGGGTCAAGCTACAATAATAACGGTGATGATTTGTACGCCACAAAGGCAAGAAGAAAGCGAGGAAAGAGGGCACGAAGAGGAGACCAATAACATAAAGAAACCACCGATTTTGGAAGCTCAAATCAACCTACTTTTTCCTCTCTATGGCAGCAACATTTTTCACCCTTTCACACGCACAAATCACACTAAAATGACTAGTGTAGAAAAACACACACACACACACATGGTTATGTTAGGCTTTAAATGGACCTATAATAAGACTAAATGACAAAGATTCAAAGTCATCCAAAAGGTAATATGTATGAGTTGGATAGAGCCTTCGAATTTGGTTGTTGATAATTATTTTACTCATCGACTGAGACCTATAAAATATATTCCAATGTTTACATTATAACTCGAAATTTATTTGGTATCAAAACCCAATAATTCACCCATTAAAAAGATATAGTACGAGATTCAAAGTTATGAACTGGAAGCATTTTAAATGAATAGCATCTGCATCTCGTAATTTGTTGGATGTGAATAAAGTCATGTACTATCAGGATGATTTGTAATTCACAGATTATTTTATAAGTCGGATCAACAACTTGAAAAAGTCAAGGCGCTAGCGTTGTCGTGATGTGTGCTCAATAACACGTCTTAATTGAAAATCTATGAGTAAAATAATGTTTAATCGATTTCTCAATATTTTTTCTCCTGAAGGTGAAGAAAAATTTCTTTTAAATAACCTTAGTCACATGCAAGCTTCGAAGAAAAGGTAAAAATGTTCCCAACTTAGCGGCAAAATGGGATATCAAGCGGCTATCTTGTTTGACTCACAATATGATAAGATCCTTCTCTCAAATGCAAATGGTAATTAAAATTAACAAGCAATTAAAGAATTAATTGAACTAGAAAACTTTTTAACTACTTCTATCGTACCTTTAGCACAACAATTTTATCAAGTGGTCGAGAACTAGAAAAAGTCTAATACATCTGTTGAAAGCTAAGATTAAAAGAAAAAAGAGAAAAGAAAAAAAAAAAAAGAGGGTTCTGAATCACACTCAATTGCGAAGAAAACATAGCAACGATGCACAAGTCGTGCTAGGCAAAGGTGCAATGCAACATCATTTGCACGTTTGCATCGTAAATGAATTCACCAAAAAGTGAATTTGAGGCTAGAGATTGTAGAACAAAGATGTCGACAATCAAATTGAATAATACTATGTGGTCCGTAAACCTTAATTCTCCTTCGCGTGGAGCTTTTTGCTAAGTCCTGCTCTATTTTGCTTACATTAGCAATTAAATTAATTATGCTTTTTTGTGACATAACAAGGGATTTTAATTGTTTTTAAATTGTACAATTGAACGTGTTCTAGCTATAGTTTACTTTTGCATTACTACTGTGAGGAGTTTATACTTTAAAAACTGTCACGGACATTATTATCAACAATTTATCTTTTATCGTGAGAAGAGCAAAACTACACTTGAAGAGAGAATTCGATTTGGAAAATTTGAATAATTTAAAAGCACTACTTATGAACAATGTGTATATGTGCTTTAATGTAATGCTATGGTAGTTCAACTGCCAAATGTCCACGGTTAGACCAAATGGATCAATATATTAGGGCTAAGACTACCTGTATAAAGAAATAAAATTTAGTTAAGAGAGAACCTAATGATAGTTCAATCATTTAATTCTATTCTAAATTCTTTTTATTGTATCCGTGAATCCTCCTTACCTTTCCCATGAATATCAAAATGCTATTTTTCCATCATTTCCTTCTATCATGTCGATCTGATTAAAAAATTTGTATTCGATGTATCAAAATTTCTAGGTAAAATAAGTAGTAGTATTGCTATAGAAGTCACGAGCTTCTATTTAATCTTTGAATTGGCATTAAATATTGGCTAGTTATATATTCTTTTTTTCGGAATGTTAACTAGCAAGTGCCTAGCTATCAAGTTTTGAAAAATAATAGAATGACAACCAAAGAAATTCTTGTATTTACGAAACCCG